CGGGCGCTGGCTGGCTCTGGGTGGGCAGGCTGCCCGCGGCCAGCGACACAGGCATCTGGAAGAGCGCCGGCTGGCCCACCTGGATGGGGGCAGCTGAGAGAATGTGGGCCGCACTGTGGGCCCCGGAGTGAGGGGCCAGCACGGGGCCCAGGCTCAGCGGGCCCGCCAGGTTCTGGTTAGTGAGGATGGGGTTTGCGATGAGCTGTCCGCCCGCGTGGGGGGCTGCGGCCGCCAGGATCTGCCCACCCACGTTGGCGGGCAGGGCCGAGAGCGGCTGAGGGAGCTGGACAGCGGATGTGCCGGGCAGCAGGAACTGGTTCTGGCCTGGCAGCATGTGCTGGGCGGGGATGACGATGCTGCTGCCTTGATTCAAGAGGTGGACGCTCATGGGCTTGCTCAGGGCTCCAGGGGGCTGCGGTGGGGCTGCCCCTGTGGTGGTGGCAGGAGGCTGCTTGAAGACATTCGCCTGCAGAGCAGGTGCCGGGAAGCCTGACAGCACCACGTTCTGGCCAGCCTTGCCCGCTGCCATGAAAGTCAGGTTCTGGGGGGCCTTGGGCTGCTGCGGGAGGCCCCCCGCCTCACCCTGGATGGTGAGCGTGGCGCCTGCGGGGGCAAACGGCTTGGGTGTCAGCTGGTAGAGTTTGGGGGGCAGCACACCGGCAGGCTTGGGCTGGATGGGTGTGGGCGTGCGATGGAGGATCACGTTTGGTGCCTGAACCAGCGGTGATGTGCCGAGGCCCGGGGCCACCGCCAGCGGTTGTCCCGAGGGCGTCCCGCTGGCAGCAGCAGTGGCAGCTCCCGCCCCTCCGAACACCGAGTTCCCATTGAGCGTGGTGGCTACAGCGGCGGGGAGGTTCTTCTGGATGACCAGGCCAGCCCCCTGGGGCGAGACACCAGCTGATGCCAAGGTCACTGGCTCCGAGGGCCCAGCTGCCGAGGCCAGATAGCCACTGACGGGCACCTGTTTGGCCAGGAGCTGGGAGGTGGGCGGGTTGAGTGCCATGACTGGCTGGCCCACCACCTGGATGGGGGCCAGGCCGAGTGTGGCTGCCGTAGTGCCCCCAGGGCTGCCGTTGGGCAGGCCCTGGAGGCCAGGGATGGGCTGCAGGGTCACGTTGCCCAGGCCCACAGGCTGCAGGAAGGGCTGGACACTGAGGGCTTTGTTGACCACGTCCTGGGGCGGGACCAGGGCCTGGTGGGTCAGCACAGTGGGCGGGGCCTGCAGCCCCAGGAGGTCAGCGCCACTAGGGAAAAGGGCCTGGGGCCCCGTGGCCACTGCTGCAGCCCCTCCGGCACCCGCTGGGCCTGCCCCGCCGTCTGCGGGCTGCAGGGTGGGCAGCTGGAAGGGACCCAAGTCCAGCTCGGCCTCAGCTTCGAGTGTCTGCTCAGTGATGTTGGCCTCTTGGAGGCTCTGCTGGAGGATGTCGCAGGGCTGGTCAGCGCCCCCACCGCCCCCGCTGCCACCTCCAGCCGAGGGCGAGCCCAGGATGTCATCTTCCAGGAAGTCAAGGTCCACGCTAGGGGCCGGCTGGCTGGGCTCGGGGTTCAAGTGGTTGCCAGAAGCTTCTTGTACATGGAGCTGGAGGCCGGGTGAGGTGGGAAGGAAAGAGCTGAGGTTAGCAAGGGGCTGGGCTCCAGGCACAACAGCAGCAAAGAGTGTCAGGGTGGCAGGGGCAGAAAGAACCTTCCATCTAGAAGTGGGTGGACCTGGCTTCAAACCTCAGCTTTGCCACAGCTAAGCCGTACAACCGAAGCTTACTTAATCTGGCCTGTTTCCCCATCTGAACACATCAGCAGAATGGAATAAAAACCATTTTCTAAACAGCCATACAGGCCCGTAATATTCATCCGCAATGCCAAAACCCAAAAGGCTCTGAAAACCACAAGTGCTTTGGTGACTTTGGGCCGTGAAACCTGACCAGAACTGAGGTGATACTCTCGGGGAGAAGGTGCAATTCATCCACATACCGTGACTCGTCTGAAGTTTGACCACACAAAGGTGAGCGAGCTTATGTGACACATAGCACATGTTATGCATCACTTTCCAGAATCTGAACAAGCCTGAATTCTGAAACATGCCTGGCCCCCAAGGTTTCAGATGAAACAGATAGTGGTTCTATTACAGATTACAGCAGCAGCTGCCATCTGGGAGCCTTAATTTGTGCCAAGCGCGCTGTGAGTTTGATGTTTCTTAAATGCTTTCCAGGATGGTGACCCAGGGCACGAATGTATAATCAATATAGGGATGCGGATTTGAGTAAATATTCCATAAGCAATAATTATGCCAATGGCACAGAATACCCACTGACATTTGACCAGATAATGGATCTAACCCCATGGTGAGAAAGATTCTGAGTCCACACGGAGGGCTCACAGCAGTCCCGGCACTGAGCTGATGCTGGAGAAATATCATATGTCCCTGTTATTATTACCGTCCAGGGGGTTGTCAATAATAGCCCAGTGAGGTGGCCCGGCTCCCATCCTCACCTCCCCGTCGGGGAGACAGGTCACCTCTGGCAGGACAGGCCTCCAGCTCAGCCCTGAACCAAGGACTAGGCATTTCTGAGTCCCTAACCACTAAATGGCCTGATCCAAACCTGTCTGCTAGGATGGCATGATGTTCACTGCTGTCATGTATGGGAGGTGCTGAGGGCCTGATCAGGGACCTCTTGGGTATTAAAAGAGGACAACAGCGATAAGAATAATGATCACACAATGAGAACGGAGGCTCACAGTGTTACCGGGTTGATAAGTAGAATAACATGAACATAATGTGTATTTCTTGGGTTCTGGATTTAGTCATGTCTATTATGCCAGATAAATTCTTTGGAATATATGATTATAATTGTTGGGAGAAGTCAGTGAAAACTAATGAGAAGGGCCTGGCATATGATATGTGTTCAGTAGATGAAGAGGGAGGAGCGGGGAGCGGGGAGTGGGAGGGAGACAGAAGAGGGGAAAGGAGGAAAAAGGAGGGGGCGGGAGGGGGAGAGAAGGGGAAAGGAGAGGGGAGGGAGAGGCTGCAGAAGAGGACAACTGACATTTAGTAATGGGCCTGGCATAGGCCAGCACATAGCAGGTACTCAATAAAAGCCCACTGTGTTCCCCACTCTGGGCTTTGCTCATCACCCCTGCCTTCAGGTGACACTCTCCCCCACGGCTGAGCCTGAACAGGACCGCAAGCCATCAGGAGTGCCCCACCCCCCACCCCCCCATAACTCCAGGGCCATTCTCTGCACCAGCTCCGTACCAGCTCCCCTCCAAGGCCAGGGTCTCACGATCCCCACCTCCTCTCAGGGTCCTGCGGGCATAGCCAGGGGTCCAGCAGCTTTGTTCTCACCTGTACCTGGCCCTGCTCTCAGTGACTGCCTGCCCTCCTCCCGGCAAAGTGCCTCAGTGGATGTGGGTGCCCTCCCCCTCCCCCTGCTACCCCCTTTCCTGCACTGGCTGCCTCCATGGGCAACGGATGATAATTGGAGCCCATCACCCTCCCCAAGCCCCCAGGTCACTTACCCCAGGACCTTCATAGAAGGCACTTTGGGCCTCCCCGGGATTATCCAGGAGGTCATCACTGTCGAGCTGCAACAAGACCCGCCCCCACCCAAGGTCAAAGGTCAGCTGGGCAGTGGGCCGGCCCACGCTCTAGAACAAAAACCAATTGAGGGTTACATGGGACAGAGAGACAAAGACGAGATGGGGGCGGGCTCAAGGGGTACAGGAAACTCCGCCTCTAGAAAAGAGGCCCCAAAGAAAAGGGCTTGGCTACATCTTTAACACCCAGGACATCCCCAGCACCGTGTCTGAGGCTCTCTGACACTCCTGCCTTGAGCTCTGGAATCCTGTCTCTATGCCTTTGCCCAAGCGGTGGCCCCCTGCCCCCTGCCTTTCCCCACTTGGTGTCTTTGGCAACACATCCTTCAGGGCTGGTCACATATGCCACCTCTTCCCAACAACGGTCTGTCCCTTCCTCCTAAGTCGCTCCTTCCTCTGTGCAGCCCCGCCACTCCCGGAGGCATCGTCAGTGTCTGGAATAGGCCCTAAGCACTCACTGAACGTCCACAGCTGAGCCTCCTCAATTTCTCTCTCCAGCTGGCTCTTTCCAGAACCCCAGACTGGTGGATCCAATAGCCCCCCACCTCCTGGACTTCTGGAATCGGCCCCCAAACTCCCAATCTCAGGGAACTGGACCACAACCCACTGAGCGGCTCAGATCAAATCCAGGAGGCATTCTGGATGCTCTTTCTGCCTCAGCATCGAATCCACCAGCAAGTCTAGTTGACGTTGCCTCCCAAAAGATCTCAAGCCATGCCCGGCCCCTCCTCCACCACCCACCCCATGGCCCCAGCCACCAGCGTCCCAGTGCACTTGCCCCTACTCCACAAAAATTATTTGATACGTCCTCTCCCGGGAAGTGGAACTCTGTTCCCCTCCCTGTGAGTGTGGGCGGGCTGAGTGACTCGCTTCTAGTGCACACAGTGTGATGAGGGTGACAGTCGTGACTTCGGAGACTAGGTCATAAAAGGCACTGAGCTTCCTGGCTCTCTCCCTTGGGTCACTCGCTCTTGGGAGCCCCGCTGCTGTGTCACAAGGACACTCAAGCCATCCTGTGGCGAGGTCCACATGGCAAGGAACTGAGGACTCTAGCCAACAGACACAGGAGTGAGTCTTTGTGGGAGCATGTCCTCCGTCCCCTGACAGCCCTCAGATGACAGCAGCTCCAGCCAACATCCTGACTGTGACTCAGGGGAGACCCTGAGCCTGACACCCAGCTAAGCTGCTCCCCAAGTCCTGTCCCTTAGAAACTGGGAGAGCTCTAACAGATGTTGTTTCAAGTCACTAAGTGTTGGGACAACTTGTTACGCAGCCCTTGTAACTGATACAACACCCCACAGCTCAACAGACGTCCCCTCTTCTCCACTTTGTTCCATGCACTCAAGAACCTCACAGAACTGCCCGTCCCCTTCAGAATAAAATCAAAACTTCTCAATCAAGGTCGTCCAGGCCCCATGACCTGGTGATGTTTGTCCATGCCACCCTCACCACCACTAGTTTCCCCTTCAGTCTGGCCCGAGTCTTTCTTTTCCTTGAACACACCGAAATTTTCCACTTTTCTACCTGCTCTTCCCCACCCCAGAGAACCATGGGTACCTCCCTTTGATCCTTCAGGCTCACCTTCAACATCCCCTCCCTGTCCCCACCCCCCCATTCATTTCCTTCTAAACCTCTTTTGTTTCTCAAGTGACATTATTATTTCTTAAAAAAAAATTTTTTTAATGGAGGTACTGAAGATTGAACTCAGGACCTCGTGCATGCTAAGCACAGGCTCTATCACTGAGCTATACCCTCACTCCCCACTGACGTTATTATTTCTTAAGCTACTCTGCACGGTGCTCTCCACCGTCATGTTGATTAATTACTTGTTGCTTGGTTTACCAGGGAAACGTGTATGATGCGAGGGCAGGGATCTGCCATCTCTTTCACTCTCCACCAGAACCCTGGTTCCTGGCTCGCGGAGGGCATGGGGCAGATGCCTACTGAATCGGGGGCGTGTCCCTCAGCTCCCCACTCCACAGCCCCCTGCCCTGGGATGCCTCTCCCCGCCCCAGCACTCACCTTCTCAGATCCATGTAAGAAGTCATTGAGGGCCTGAGGGTCACTGTAAGAGAGATGGGGAGAGACACTTGAGGAGGTGAGGGACAGGGGAGGGGAGGGAGAGGGAGGGTGTGGTGGGGGAAGCCTACTACTCACCAAATCACGTCTAGTAAGCATCTCCCATCCTCATCATCCATCGCCACTGGACAGGGCGGGCCGAGAAGAGGGCAAGAAAGACAAGTTAGATGTTGGCAGCACTCCAGGGCCCTCCCTGCAAGAACCATTCCCAGGGGCTGAGACCCCAAAAGGGGGTCAGGGTTTCTGTTCCCTTAATTCTATGGGCATAGGTGGGGGCCCCTTCTAGAACCTCCTGAGCAGACAGAGACGACTGCCTTCTCTCCCTCTCCCTCCTTCCCCTGTATCTGCTGACAGTGGATGACATCAACCCAGACGAGTAAGCCCTGATCACGCCCAGGCCCACTTCATCCCCACAGCATCCTGCCAGGTGGGTCCCACCACCCCTGCTTGGCAGGTGAGCACTCGGGAGAGCAGAGACCATCGTCCTCCACCTCCCTGCTGCAGGTGGCAGAGCCAGACCTGGACCCAGAAGTCTGGCTTCGAGCCTGGGCTCTGCACCAGCACTCGGTCCCACCTCCCTGAGCCCAGGGCCTCGCCCAGAGCAGGCCAGGGGCTAGGGGGCAGAGGCTTGCCCAACAGAGGAAGGGGTGAAGTAGGGAGGGAGTGGAGGTAGCATAAAGGGCCTCATGATCCAGGTTCTGGGTTCCCCTTGAAGACAAATGCCTTGTAGTTTGCAAGGAAGGGAAGAGAGAGGCAGAGGGACCGGCAGGATGGGTGCTCTGAGGCAGAGGCACCGCTGGAGCTGGGCTGAGCCTGCCGGAATGATGAGGATGTGGACAGCCAACATCTGTCCCATGTGTACCACATGCCAGGCACTGCCCTCAGTGCTCCACAAATGTTAGCTTGTTCAACCCCCCTGGGTGGGGGAGATGCTATCAGCCCCATTCCACAGGTGAGAAAACGGAAGTTCTCCAGGTTTGTCCATCCACTGCCTAAACTTCCATCACTCCAAACATCCCACCAAGCTTCCATGCACCCACCTTTTTTTCTTTCTTTTTAATGGAGGTACTGGGAATTGAACCCAGGACCAAGAGCGCATGCGTTCTACCACTGAGCTATAGTCAGCCCCCACAACACATCCACCTTTGCAAACTTCCAAACCCAGCCACCTTTCCCTCCCAACAAAGCAGAGTGGACACAGAGAGAAGTCATGCACAACCCCAGCCCAGGGCCAGGGAGTTCTTAGTCTCTTTTTTTGTGTGTGTGTGGGAGGTGGTAGTCCTGAGCTCACCAAGGATGTGGTGACTGTTGTGGATTCCCCTCCCCTCAAAACACACGTGTACAATCTCACAGGTGCCCTAAGCTGGTTCACAACCCCTTTCCGCCGACAGCGTTCTCTGAGCATCCCTGACAGTCACCTCCTGATGGCCGCCCCAGCTCCCGTTACTCTCAATTGTTCTGTGACATAAAGAGTCCCGGGTAGGTCCCTCCTAGGTGGGTCAGGGTCTTCCTGAAATAGTGCGTCACAGAGTCTGATGATAGCACAAAAGACCCTCTTGCCAGAAACATGCATGTGGGCCAAAAATGTTACCTGTGCTTCCCCAGGGTCCCTGGGACGCACACGCGCATGCACGCACACATGTACCCGCTGCACGGGCCCTGGGTTAACACGCCTAGTCTGGGACAGGGCCCGCGAGGCAACACAAGGACACATCTCCCCCCAGATCCTCGCCCGCTGATCACTGTCCCCTCTAGATCTGGCCCTGGAAACCGTCCCCAGAGAGGCCCTTCCAAGGCTGCTGCTGCATCTGGTGGTGGGGACAACACACTCTCTGGCTTCACAGCCCAGCCTCCACCCATGTGCCTCCTTCCTGTGTCACCAGCTCCGTGGCCTGTGAGCCCGTGAACCTATCCCAACTAGCCCACGTCTGGCCTCGTCCGGCCAGGGAACAACAAGGCAAGCTCTGCAAAGAATCTGGAGATGAGGGGAGGTGGGGAGGAGCATCCTGCCCACCGCTGGCGTGGAGGCAGGGGGGATGGCCCAAATGACCTGAGAGGGCGGAGCTGAGGGATGTGGCTAAGCCGGGCTCAGCCAAGAAGGAACATCCCTTCCCCCGGTGGACAAGGGACAACAGCCCCTCCGGGGCTGAGAGGGACTCTTGGTGGTTACCTGCGCTACCGACGAATCATGAAGGGAAGGAGGGGGTGTCCACTCCAGCTCTACGCAGGGCCCCCAGCTGGGGACTTGGGGAGTGTCCTTTCGGGGGCCAGCTGTGGAGAGAGGAGAGAGAGGCTGTGAGTGAGACCCGCAGTGAAGAGGAGAAAGATGTAGCTGGAGAGAGGAGAGGCCAAATACTAGTTTAAAACCACACTGCACATGATCACCTATGTGGTACGTGCAGACTCACTGCACCGCATCCACACCTAGCGTGTAGACATACACACACGTCACGCCACAGGAGGGATCATTATACAGTAAAATCCACCGGTGCTTCCAAGCTAACAGAGTACGCTTGGGTCTCGTCATTTGAAGTGCTTGTATTCTGTAAGGTCACCACTCCAGGGGAAATACTGGGTTAGCTTCCCAGGAGCATCTGGTCCCAGTCTCATCAGCCCATCCTCCATATATCCCCGTGGTGTATGTGTGTTTCTGTTTAAAGACACAGTGTTGAAGATACATGGTTGATGAACTCACACTGAACTCACGCCAGCAGCGCTCTAACTAGGGCAGAGGGGAGCTCATTCTCCGTAGAGCACGTCACAGCCATCCTGCACTTGGGGACGCTGGACGGCACTTCGGCACCACACGGGAGGGGCTATTTTTAAAAAATTTTTAATTGAGGTGCAGTTGATTGACAATGTTGTGTTAGTTTCAGGTGTACAGCCTAGTGATTCAATTATACATATATGTATATATATTCTTTTTCATTATAGGTTATTACAAGATATTGAATGTAGTTCTCTGTGCTGTACAGTAGGACCTTTCTGTTTATCTATTTTATATACAGTAGTTTGTATCTGCTAATCCCAAACTCCTACTAATTTATCCCTCCTCCCCTTCCTTCTTTGGTAACCACAAGTTTGTTTTCTATGTCTATGAATCTGTTTCTGTTTTGTAAATAAGTTCATTTGTATCATTTTTTAGATTCCACATATAAGTGATATCATATGATATTTGTCTTTGTCTGACTTACTTCACTTAGTATGACAATCTCTAGGTCCATCCACGTTGCTGCAAATGGCATTATTTCATTCTTTTTTATGGCTGAATAATATTCCATTGTGTGTACACACACACATATACACCACATCTTCTTTACCCAGTCATCTATTGATGGACATTTAGGTTGCTTCTATGTTGTGGCTATTGTAAATAGTGCTACTGTGAACATTGGGGGTGCATGTATCTTTTCGAATTACAGTTTTTGTCTTTTCTGGTTATATGTCCAGGACTGAGATTGCTGGATCATATAACTGCATCTTTAGTTTTTTAAGGAATCTCTGTACTGTTTCCCATAGTGGCTGCACCAAATTACATTCCCACCAACAGGGTGGGAAGGGCTACTTTTAACACCAAAACCACCAACAAAATGCACAAAAGTGCCCAAACAACAGGGCACTGAAGAGAGCACCGAAAGGACACTTGCTCACAGCTCACGAGCTGGTTGGACAAGGCGGGGGCGTCACCAGGTTCAACCTCTGCACACATCTGGGAGTGGCCAGGAAAGGGCCAAGAACACTGATTTGGGGGGTGTCAGTGTTAGCGAGCAGGCGGATCCGCGTATACGGAATCCACGAATGAAGATGCTGCTGCTTGCAGGCCCGCTGTGTGTCAGCCCCTGGTTTTAAGTACCCTGCACATATTAGCCCATTTCACCTTATTTTTATTTATTTATTTATTTTAATGGCGGCATTGGAGATTGAACCCAGGACCTTATGCATGCTAAGCATGTGCACTACCACTGAGCTATACCCTCCCCCACCAATTTCACCTTCTTTAAATCCCCACAAAGCAGGTCCTTTTATCAGCCCCATTCTGCATAAGAGAAAACTGAGGCCCTGAATGGTCAGCCATATACCCAAGATCCCTCAAGTGGTAACTGGACAGGCTGGGCTCTGCAGCAAAGCAGGCCAACTCCAGAGTCCCCGCCCTTAACCATGATTCCACAGACCGTCCTCTCATCATGTTTTTCTTTCAAAATCTAAAGCAAATACGGCAACAGTGTCAAGACAAAGCTGGGTGACAGCCTTTGGGAACATTTTATGAATGCCTGGGATAGTTCAGATTCTAAAAAGCAATAAAGCGAGTGGATGGAAGAGAGAGGAGGAGTGGGAACTGCTTCACCTCTTTGTTGAGAGGCCCAGGCCCTGGAAAGACCTAGAAAGCATCTGTCAAAAGATCCTGAAACACGGGATCCTGGCCCAGCCAGATTCCAGGGGCACAGCCCCAGCCTGGAGGTGTTCACAAGCACCCAAGGTGGCTTCGTGAGAGCCGCCGGCTCCGTGTGGGCTCCGGCTTCGGGGTGGGGCTCAAATTCTGTAAATGCTGGACCAGAATTAGAGCCAGGAGAAGAGGTTTCCAAAACACAGTTCTCCAAATAGGACCCACAGGTGAACGTCCAGCGGGAGGTTCCAGACTGAGAATTTGTTTTCTGTGTTTTCATTCCAATGGTCACATCAGAGAAATGGACAGCAGAGGGGGGAGACATTCTAGGGAGAGTGAAATGTTCTGCATTGTGATGGAGTGTCGGTTACATAAGGGCTTAAAAATTCACAGCTTAGGTTGATGTATGTCAATGCATGTCAGTTCAATGCATGTCAATTTCACCTTAAACAAAATTGTGAAAAAAAATCGTCAGGGTGTGGTAGTGGTGGGTGGGGGGAGAGCTGAACAGACTTGGAGGGATGTTGATAACTAACTGTTCAGGCTGGCTGATAGGTACCTGGGGGCTTCATCATGCCATTCTAGTTATTTTCCATCTTTTCAAAAATTTCCATGAGAAAGAGAAAATAATTTGTCAATAATCGGCAGGTGTGGGGTTCCTCTGAGATGGGTCACCCCAGTCAGGTGCCAGGGTTGATGCCAAGAGCTCCAGCATAGGGTGACTGTTCTGGGGTTGGAGTCAACAGTTCAAATCCCCACTCCTACACGAGGGCTGGGCGACCTTGGGCAAGTGACTTCACCTCTCTGGGCCTCAGTGTCCTCATCTGTAAAATGGGCATAATTATAGTCCCTGTTCTCGCATACGGCAGTGGAGGGGCACTCAGACCGGGGCCTGGCCTGTGGTTGGGGCGTAGCAGGTGTTGGTATTGCTATTACTGGCATTGATATCATTTTGTAAGTTCTACTAAATGCTGCTGATGAATGAGGAAAGGTCAGAGGTGCAGAGGCCTTCAGTACCCACCCTCAACCCCCAAGTCTCGTTTCCACACAGGCTCACACTGATTTCCAGGACCAATCCTGGATCTAGAGGCTCAGACATTGAGAGAGGGGCCAGAGTAGCTGCATTTTTAGTAAATGTTCCAGATTCCAGTGCAGCCGACATCTCTGAAGATGCCAAGTATCCATCGTGACTAATGCAAGCTCTTTGCTGGAGAGGCGGGGTGGCATGTGGGGAAGAGCAGACTGGGTCGCTAAGCGGCCCGGGTTCCCTTCCCGGCACTGCCACTTCCCAGCCGTGTGCCTACGACAAGTTCCTCATGCCTCTGTGCCTCAGTTTCCTCATCTGGAAAATGAGAATCAAAGTCTGTCCCCCCATAGGATTGTTATACAGGAATACCCTCAATCCTCGCGTTTGGTAAGGTCTTTTGTAAGCAACATATACCGTGGCAATCATTTTAACTGCCACTGTGAAGCTTCCCTTATGTGGCAACTTGCAAAGCTTTCTGGCCACGGCGCAGTCAGGTTGGGCAAACGTCCCCGGGCCCCAGTTTTTCTACCTGGTGCCATTTGCCACGTGTGGCCCTTGCACACGTTTGGAAGGGTTGATATATCACCTGCTCCAGCCAGCGAGCTATGTCTATGGTCCTACTTAAACTGTCCAGTGCCAAGTCTCCTCTGGTCCTTCCAACCTTCTACTGTGATATCATTTCTCAGCTGAGATCAATGAGGCTACATGAAGTGGTTCTGGGGAAACCATGGGCCATACACAGCCAGAGCCATGTGCCGCTCGCTGCTCATGCACAGGGCTACCCAGGATCCTGCCAGGGGGAGGGAGCCTTGAAGGACACAAATGAGCCCACTAACTATTGAAAGACAGAATTTGAATGTCTGGATATTTGATAATGCTAAGAAACTGTGATTAAGAGTCTAGGTTTAATAATGACATTGTGTTCTTTTTTTTTCTTTACAGAATCCTTATCTTTAAGAAACACACCCTGAAATATTTAAGGTGGAAATGACAAAATGTCCAGGGTTTACTGGAAATCCCGTTGTGTGTGTATATGGACCTGCGCTGTCTAATACAGCAGCCACATGTGACTATGTAGCTCAAGTTCAAGCTAATTCACTGAAATGAGGGCAGAGGACTTGAGCAGATATTTATCCAAATTAGATACAAACGGTGAAGCACATGAAAAGGTGATCATCACCACCAATCAGGGAAATGTCATCAAAAGCATAAACACCACCTCGCACCTGTTAGAATGGCTACCATCAAAAAAACCCAAAAAATAACAATTGTTGCCGAGGATGTGGAGAAATTGGAACCCTCGTGCACAGTGGGTGGGAAAGTAAAATGGTACAGCTGCCATGGAAAATGATTTCACGGCTCCTTCAAAAATTAAAAATAGAATTACCATATGATCCAGCAAGTCCACTTCTGGGGAGACATACAAAAGAACTGAAAGCAGGGTCTCGAAGATATCTTTGTACCCCCACATTCACAGCAGCACTATTCGCCATAGTCCAAAGGAGGAAACAACCCAAGTTCCATCAGCGGATGAATGGATGGGCCAAATGTGCTATATATTTACAGTGGAATCCCACGCAGGAAGGAAACTGACGCAGGCTACAGCAGGGATGATCCTTAAGCTAAGTGAAGTGAGCCAGTTAGCAAAAAAATCAAAAGTACTGTATGAGGCCACTTCTCATGTAGAGACAGAAAGGAGAATGACAGCTGCCCGGGACTGTGCGCTGGGGGTGGGGAGGAGAACCAGGGAGTTCTTGTTTATTGAGGGCAGAGTTTCAGTTCTGCAAGATGAAAGAAGTTCTGGAGATGGATGGTGGAGATGGTTGCACAACAATGTGAAAGCACTGAATGTCACTGAACCACCCACTTAAAAAACGGCAGAGATGGTCAATTTTATGTTATGGGT